CATCGTCACAACAATGCTTCTTCATGATGCTGCTTTCAGCTGTTCTTAGCAGCTTGGCAGACATACAGTTCCACCAGGTGTTTGCCAATTGCTGCTGGCTAGTCTGAAGGAACTGAGTAGGGGAGTGGTGGAGAAGGCCTGCTCTGTGAGGAAGAGGCTCAGTCTGGGGACTGCAGCACAGAGGAGGAAAAGGCAGAGCTCAGAGAGAGCAAGTGTTTAGGCAGTTCTGAATGGTTGCCATGGAGATTAAAGGATTTCTCAAATATGCATGACAGAATCCAAGCATCACTCCAGAGATGTTTATGACAAGGGAATAACATGATGTAAAGCTTAAAAAAAAGCTGATTATGCATAATACCGCCCCCTTATGGGAAATTTATAAATAAAAACCAATCTGCCTCTGTATGAAAAGGTAATTTCCCCCTAAACCAAACACCAGGTGTCACCCTTAGCAGCAGCAGCTCACCTCCACATCAGACACCTTGCCCACACATCTATATAGCATGTTTATGTAACACTCATGACCTCTGTTCATTGTGATCTAGCTGGACTTCAGGGTTTTCTTATTCATATCTACGCCTCTTCAGCTCAACATCGACAACACTGATGTGTCAAAGCATTGGGAAGACACTGTGGACAGGAAGCAAAACAAGCAGTCTGGTTTTAAGATTAGAATGGGAAATCCAGTACTGTTTTAAACAAAACCTTCAAAACTACTTGTCAGAGCAGAGATAAATCATAAATAAAAAAAGAGTCGGAGTTATCCAACTATCAGACTGGTGTGTCTGTCCTGCAGCAACACGTTTAGTATTGCTATGGTATGGTATATATAGGATTTAGTAGCTTCGCTGATAGGCTAACACCTGTTAGCACAACAATATGCTTTCCCAGCGTCCCGTCAGTTCGACTTTTGAAGCAAAAATTAACCTTCAGCGGGCCAAGAGAAGTGGCCTCGTAATCCGTTGCTGCTGTTCGCATAGTCGTTTGTGGATGACGCTTGTGCGTTGGATTTATGGCTGTACCAGAAACTCACAAATACAAAGGTTCCTACTGGAACCTTGTATGCAATAAAAAAAAAAAAAAAAAAAAAAAAATTTTTGGGGGTCAAAAAATTTGTAGTTTAACAAAATATTCTTAAATAAAAATTTA